CTCACTCTAACTGGGGAAGTAATAGAGCAGGTGGATAAGTTTTGTTATTTGTGCAGCTACATCTCACCCGGTGGAGGCGTCACGGATGAAGTGTCAGCTCGCAGACACCAGATTCAATTGGCAATTGCCAACTTGAGACATTTGTGGCGACATCCGGCTGTCTGTGAAGGATCGAGTGTATGCCGTGACAGTTCGGCCAGTCCTGTTATACGGTGCAGAAACATGTCCCACACAAAGCAGTCTATGGAGGTCGACCACTTGTTTCAGTGGAAGACCTCGATCACCTAAAACTCTGCGACTAACCTCTGCATTGTTCCTCCGGTTTCCCCACCAGACTCGTGCGACTCGGCGTAGACAGCAGTGGTAGAACACTGACAATCTTTTTTTATCGTGTTCTCGTAATGACCAAGTCTCTGCACTGTAAAGCAGCACTGGATGAACTGCTGCAGCATATACTCTACCCTTCACAGACAACCGGATGTGGCGACGGCGCCACAGACGTCTCAAGTTGATTTTAATTTAGTCGATACGCGATATATAACGCACCATATCTTTGCAACTTAGTTGTCATCACACCCAGCCATACCACTTCCGATGAGAAGCAACCAGATCAAACGATCGACAGTTCAGTTCAGTTCTTATAACCATTAACCATGCGCTTGTACTTGAGTGTAACCACTTACAACCGAGAATAACCACAGCAATTGAGCGATTAATGATTGAAAATCATATACGGTCATACTCCATCAATGCCTACGAGTCATTTGTTTCTAGGTGACAATGTATATATAAATATCTATATTTATATATACGTATTTGGACTTTATTCATTATGTGCATTTCTCAGAGTTCTCTATTTCTCAAACCTGATCCGTTTTGGACACAGGAAAATCATTGTGGTCTAGTGGTTCCTTTTGCATGTGAACACGAAAAATGACCAAACGTGCTACCTGTTGTTTCACGCGTTTCGTTTTTTCTCGTCGAGTTGATGGCACAAAAGCTGCTGCTAACTTTTTTCTCTGTACCCTAACCAGAAATGACAGCCGTTGCCGGAAGTGAAGATGCTGGTGGAGCGTTAATCTGGCGTTGTGATTCCGGCGCACTTATCCAAACACTGAAGCCACCGGATACGAGTTCCGAGTCTCCTATCATTGACGTTTGTCCGTTCACAACCACTCAGTCAAGCTCAAGTCATTTGGCATTGCTCACTGATCGAACATTGCATTTATATCGATGGTGTAGGGAAGGAGCTAGGTCTTCGTCCTGAAGAGCTGGACTTCCATTATGTGCCCTTCCACATCGTGTACATATGTGAACTCTCCCGAGTTCATTTGTATAAAATTTGTTCAACAGATGAAATGTCATACGCTATTTTTCATTTATTTTCGTCATAATTTAATGGAAATAGATTCATTGGCTGATTGTCTTCTGTAATGTTTTCAAGGCACCACCGTATGCTGAAAAAACCCACACATACGAAAAATAGATTCATTGCAAAATCCAAAAGTGAAAGTGATTAGTCCCAGTTTGGTTGGTACGGTGCAGGTATTAATTTGGAAAATGTGTGGTTTGTTAGAGGCAACGTTTGGAAAGTGCATGCAGAATAATTTCATACCTTCACATGTTTCTTCAATCCTGGTGCAATAAACAGCTTAAATCAAGCTGATTATTATTTTGCTATCGATTTGTTCAGTCTGAACGAGGATCAAAGTTAAGGTACGCTTCTCCATAATTAATTTCACATGGATTATTTAGTTTTATTCAGCCTATCGCGCGTAATATTTTTTTTCTCTAGTCTCCAACTATAGAAAATTTCTCATCTCCCCTGCGTGCCTATAAGAAGTCTCGTTTATGGCCAGCCTAACAGTTGAAAGCATCACGTAGACTGACATACGATCTTGTGCGCACGAACAGTGTCTGAAATCGTTTTTCAAACTGTCGATTCGTTTGAACCCAAGTTTGATTTAGAATATCTGTCATTATTGTTTAAATGCATGATGATGACTGTGCAAAAACATGAGGATAGGTGGGATTTGTGAACGAATCTTTGAATCCCGGTGGGAATACAGTAGAATACTGTCTATAGCACCACTTCGATTTTTCTTCAGGGTTCCCTTCTTCTGCCCTGTCAAGTGCTGCATGTAGTGCAAACGGATGATGTCGTGCACTTGATTTGCCAACCGAATAGATTAGTGTACATCACAATGCTTCCTTTGTGGATTCAATGTTGTTTTTGCTTTAGCATCACTTGCTAGACGAGAATCCGTCATCAGTTATCGTCGCTGATAGTCCGTGACTGTTTATTCCTTAAAGGAAGGGCAACATATTCATGGCAAAACGGTAAGAGCTTAGCAGCATAATGTCGTCTGCATACTCCAGATCAGACAGTCTGTCTCCTGAGAGCAAATCGATGCCACTATCCTGGCACGAGGATAGGGCTGTTTCCATAATCAAATCTATAACAAAGAAAAGGGGACAGAGAGCAACCTTAACGAACACCACTTTTCATGGTGGACTCGGGTGGAAAAGTGCCGTAAGCTCGGACTCGATTTCGGCAACTAGTATAAAAGGATCATAATATTGAAATCAACTTCTCAGACATACCCTTCAGGGATAGGCAGCGTCAGAGTTTAAAGCGGTCGACTGAATCGGAGCTGCTTCCAGATCGAGGAAGATAGATATATTGGGTCTACGAAAGGGATGTCGGTGCTCCAGAGTTTGGCGAAGAGTAAAGATGTGGTCGATAAAATCTCGACCAGGTGTCAAACCAGCCTGGTTCTCAAGCGTGTACTATTCACGCGCGACAGACAATTGATGGACTATAATGCCAGTGAGAAGTTTAGAGACGATGTCGACTAAACTAATTCCTTTGGTGTTTTAATAAG